GCTTTTTTCTTTTTGCTTATGTGGTGCTGAGGAATCGAACCCAGGGCCTCAGGCATGCAAGGCAAGCGCTCTACCACTGAGCCAACTTCCCAGCCCCCTGATATCACTTTTTATGTGATGATGCTCTCTTCACTTTCCCTTTACCAATAAATCTCTCTTTAGCTTCTTTTTGCTTTCTTATCCCTTATCTCTCATCCTGTTAAAAAAGCAGAATTGTTTTACTGGACCAGTCTACCTAGGCAAATCCCTGTATTAATCAGCTCTCATATCATTTGTATTATTGATAAGTATATATGATATATAGGTATATTATGATACATATATTTTAAGAAATAAGCAGTTTTTAGTATGATTGGATAGATTCTCCTGAGCCTTTGAGATGTACTTCCTTTTTTTTTTTTGGTGCTGGGAATTGGACCCAGATCTTGTGTATGCTATGCATGAGCTATACCCATTCCCAGCCCCAGATTCTACACTTCATGTGGCCATCGTTGGAGCCTATATTTATGTATGTTTTTAATTACTATTTCTTTTTGAAGATAGATCTCACTGAGTAGCTCAGGCTAATCTCACAATCATGTTGCCTACCACATGTAGTTCTGTTTAAAGTTTAATACATAGCCATTAGCAGGAGGTCCTAGACATTCTGACATCAATGAAGCTTGGTCCCTAATCTATAACTAAAACATTCAAGTCTCCACGTGAACAAAGACCCACATTCAGTAGAAACTGAGGAGTTGGATCAGATAACCAATCACAAATCACTTGGGTCACAGGCTAAGCTCAACTGCAGTTTGAACATTATAAAAGATTATAGAGGCAGCTGGGCACCGGTCCCTGTTGCCTATTATGGTACTCAGGAGGCTGAGATCTGAGGATTCAGGTTCAAAGCCAGTCCGGGCAGAAAAGTCCCTGTGAAACTCTCATCTCTAATAACCACTCAAAAACTGGCATGGCTCAAAGTGTGGTAGAACATTAGCCTTGGACAAAAAGAACTTAGGAACAGCACCCAGGCCCAGAGTTCAAGCCCCACTACCGACCAAAAGAAAAAAAAGAGACGATTAGAGGTGAAGTAACAGGCAAAATTCAATACACTTTGTTTCAACATCCTTAATACAAGAGAAAGGTGACCCAAAATAGAGAAACTGGAGTGTGAACTTCTACATTCAAGGGACAGACTAGATGTCCTTGTCCACAGTTCTTGTCATGAAGTGAAACATGAGAGGAGTGAGAGGACCCCCCATTCTGAATCATCCAGGTCTTAGAGAACAGTACACAATCACAGAATTCCAAGATTATCTCAGGTGCCTAGACAGTTTGGCCACAGTCTGTGATTGGGAATAACACAATCCCTGTGAGGGGAGAAGAGAGAGAAGAGGAAGAAGGGGGGGGGAGGAAAGGGGAACTTGTACAAGTGCACACACGATTTTGGTTCCTGTATCTGCTTCCAGTAGGATTTTAAAAAACAACCAGGACTAGTGTCGGGCGCTAGAATCCCAGCTACTCAGGAGGCTGAGGTCTGAAGGCAGTCAGGGCAGGAAAGTCTGTGAGATTATCTCCAATTAACCACCCAAAAAAGCCAGAAGGGGGGCAGTGGCTCCAGTGGTAGAGCGCTAGCCTTGAGCAAAAATACTCAGGGGCAGCGTCCTGGAAAAACAGGAAGGTTGGCCTTCGCGGCTCCAGCAGGGCTGCTCGGGTCGGGCAGGCGAGTCCGGCTCCCGCGCGCGCTGCGCATCCTCTTCCACTCCGACTCACGGCCAGTTTTTGTTTTCCTCCTTCTTCTCCACGAAGGCCCGAGGCGTTAACCGGACTCACGACGGTACCCGCCCCTCTTACCTACCACAGCTCTACCCAGAGGCAGCCGCGACTCCGGCTCTCCCGCCACCCGGGGGGGTTTCCTCTAGTCCTCCGCCATCCCAGCATTCCCCGCGCCCAAGCCGCCCAGAGCAACTTCCGGTGTCGCTGGTGTAGGTGGGTGAAGAAGGAGCGGGGCCCTCGCCGCTCGCTCTCACTCCCTCGCGCGCTCTCGGGCAACATGGCGGGTGTGGAGGAGGCCGCGGCCTCCGGGAGCCACCTGAATGGTGACCTGGATCCCGACGACCGGGAAGAAGGAGCTTCCTCGACAGCGGAGGAGGCGGCCAAGAAAAAAAGACGGAAGAAGAAGAAGAGTAAAGGAGCTGCTGCAGGTGAGAGGGAAAGCTCGAGGTTCTTCCGTCGCTGCCTGGAATGGCCGAACGCCTGGGCCGAGGCCCGGTTGCGGGGAGTGGAGGGAGGGCTGGGGGGGGGGTGATGACAAGAGCCGGGGCATCCGGAGCTCGCGACTAAGATGGGTGGCCGGGCCTGGGCGGAGAGGAGGAGCGGCGGCTTCGCCCCGCGGTGGCTTTGGGGGTGCGGGAGAGGATGGTACCTCAGTAGAGCGCTCGGAGGTCGCGGAGCCGGCGCCCCTGGTGTTGCCACAACTCGGCTCCCACGCAGGCCACGGCACGGGCTTGAACCCCTGCACCGAGCGCCGCTCTACCATCTTCCGCGCCGTTCGGGCGCCTCCAAAATCCCGTTCAGACCGGTACTAGCGCCTCTCCGCGGGAACAGCTCGGGACCTCGGAGCGTTGAGGGTGGGGGCTGGGGTGGACGGAGCTCTAGCCCGAGCGCGTGCTCCCGCCCCGCCCCCGCCCCCTCGTCCGGGTTTTCCCATGTGGATTGTTTTGTTTCGTGAGACGTTGTTTTGCATTCCCCCCCCCTCCCGTGGTCATTGCGGGGATCAGACTTGGGGGATCTGCGGAGGTGCCAGCGCGTCGGTGTCACGGAGAGGTAGTGGTGCCGGTGCGAATTTTCACCCGCCCAAGTCTCCACCCAGAGCATCCGTCAAGCTGCTAAAGGTGTAAATTGTAGATGCCAACTCTCCGTGCAGAACGAGATATTCTGGGGCCGGCAGGGGAACTGGGTGTCATCAGGGAAGGGAAAGCAGCTGGATGGTTTTATAACCTGGAGCGTTACAGTGTCTTCTTTGGAGATCACGATTTGTTTCTCCAAGCTCTTTTATTAGTTGTTGCTTGTTTTTAGTTACTTTTACCCCGTGTCTTGATGAAAGTCAGCTGCGGAGGGGTGTGTGTGTGTGTGTGTGATGGAAAATGAGCAGAAAAACTTTATCCTGAGATTTTGATTAGAGAAAGAGGGCGAGTTTTAGCTTTTCTGGGTCTCTTTCAGAAAAATTAGAATCCTAAGACACATGTGGTGTGGTGGCTGATTGTGTCTTGCTTTCTAATGAAATCCACACTCTGCAGTTTGCCCCTGAAGGTGTGCAGCAAGCTAGATCCTAATATGTTTTTTTCCAATGGTTGTATTTCTCAATGTTAATCCTCTTTAGTAACCAGAATGCCACTTCATTGTGTGCCCTGGGTATTCTTTATTTCTACAAATATTGCTCCTATAGCTAGGCTGGTCCTGGTCTTGTATTTAGAAGTTTAAGAATTTGTATTTTACTAGTGGACTATCTTTTCCTATATAATTTGATTTTGCCCAGCCCAGAATACCTGCTTTTTGAAGAAATATTCCAAATGAATCCTCTTCCTATATATAGTCTTCTGCATTTATTGTCTTTCTTTAGATTTATCTAGCAATTAAAATATTTACTATAGTTAATTACTAAGTTTAAAAGTTGAACTACTCAATAGGGTCTAGCTCACATTTTTAATTTATCCTGTAGCTACTAGCATGTGTATATTTTGTTGAATGAAATTAATGAGCAGACATTGCTACTAAGATATGAATTTTTTTTTCACCTAACGTTATTCACAGTAATGCTTACTTTTGTTTTCTGAGGACTTTGCAAGAAAAGATTTGTGAACATTCTGAAATCATTACAACATAATCAAGTGTGATAATTTCATTTGACTTAAGCCATTTTATTCAATCAACAGGGCAACAGGAACCTGACAAAGAACTAGGAACCACAGTGGACGAGGTAACAAGACAATTGGAGGGACAAGCATTGGAAGAGAAAGAAAAAGATGATGATGATGAAGGTATATGGTTAATTAGAACTTAGTGATTAGATAAGACAGAAAATTTGACATTCTTTAGACAAAAATTTGTCCATACACATTATTCTCTTGACATTTCATTTGTTAAGTTTTATTAATATCACAGATAAGGAAAAGATAGCTATTAGCAACTCCGTAAGTGGAGTATGTTTAATAGCTCTTAGATAATAGAGATCTCAACTTGAGCTGTCCCTATTTTTCTGTTCATGACCCAGAGTTCAAATCTCAGTACTAGGAGAAAAAAAGTACTTGGCTTTTAAAACTTTTGGCGAAGCTAGGATTTGTGGATCTAAGCAGGAAAGTCTGTGAAGTTCTCACCTCCCATTAACCACCCAAAAAAGCTGGTATTGGATCTGTGGCTCAAATGGTATTGTGCTAGCCCTGAGCACAAAAGATCAGGGACAGCAGCCAAGCCCTGAGTTCAAGCCCCAGGATCAGCACCAAAAACCCTCCACAAAACTTTAACCACATACTGGGTAAATACTGAAAAAGTAAAACTGAGGAGGTTGTTGATTTAGTAGTATTGAACAGCTCCTATGTAAATATGTTCTATCATTGTATACTTTTATGTGTATCTTGTTTTATAGATTAAAAATGATGACTATGTGAGTTGCCTAAGGTGACACAGCAAATACATATTTTTAAGTAAAACCATAATTTAAAACCTAGCACTTGATCCTAAGTCTGTTCCTTTTTTTTTTCTTCTGTATATTCAAGCTATCTCTCTTCGTTCTCCAAGGAGCATATTGGAATGTTTCTGAGTCCTTAGGAATTCCCTAACCCTTACTTCTTTAGATACTATAAGATTTTTTTAAGGGGCTGGGAAGGTGGCTCAGTGGTAGAGTGCTTGCCTTGCATGCATGAGGCCCTGGGTTTGATTCCTTAGCACCACATAAGCAGAAAAAGCCAGAAGTGGCACTGTGGCTCAAGTAGTAGAGTGCTAGCCTTGAGCTGAAGAGCTGAGGGACAGCACCTGCACCCAGAGTTCAGGCCCATGACTGACCCCCCCCCAAAAAAAAAGATTTTTTTTAAGACAGCAACTTCTATAATTTTCCATATTGATGTGCAGATGGTAAAATGAGGGGAAATTACATAGGAAACTTGTTGTTCTACAACCTGTTCTGGCACAGGAGGAAAGGGGCTTTTCTCTTTGATTTGCAGCTATGTACTGCCAGAACTGATTGTTCTACTTAAGCATTATTAACCTAGGGTTATATTTTTCAACATTTGCAAGGACTGTCTAGAGTAGTTGTTTTTGTTGGTCATGGGGTTTGAACTCTGGGCCTAGGTGCTGTCCCTCAGCTCTTAAGCTCAAGGCTAGCACTGTACTACTTAAGCGACAGCGACACTTGCGGTTTTCTGGTGGTTAATTGGAGCTAAAAGTCTCAAGGACTTTCCTGCCTAGACTGACTTTAAACTGCTGTCCTCAGATCTCAGCTTCATCAGTAGGAAGCCTAGGATTATAGGCATGAGCCACCAGCACCCAGCTATGAGTAGTTGTTTTTCCTTTAAAAAGATATATTCAGGGGCTAGGAAGGTGGCTCAGTGGTAGAGTACTTGCCTTGCATGCATGAGGCCCTCGGTTCGATTCCTTAGCACCACATAAGCAGAAAAAGCTGGGGGACAGCGCCCAGGCCCAGAGTTCAGGTCCCACAACCGACAAAAAAAAAAAAAAAGAAAGATATATTCATTGCTCACAAGTCTTTAATCACACCTAGTCTCATTCTACCTTAATTTAGTCTTCGTATTCTGAACTTTTTTTGTTTGTTTTTGTTTTTTGTGGGGGATCCAGTCGTGGGGCCTGAACTCTGGGCCTGGTTCAGTTCAAGGCTAGCTCTCTACCACTTGAGCCACAGTGCACTTCCGGCTTTTTTTTTCTGCTTATTTGGTGCTGAGGAATTGAACCCAAGGCCTCAAGCATGCAAGGCAAGCGCTCTACCACTGAGCCACTTTGCCAGCCCTCTGAATATGTTTTGAAGAAAGGAATACATAAATTCAAGGTTGCATATTCACTGTGTATAGAATATCAGACACTGGTAATCTTGAAATGTACCTTTTTACATTTCACTTATAAAGTTAGCTGAATCTCTTGACATGTCAAATTGGAAGTCTTCAGTATATTAAAGAAGATGTTAAGAATATTTCTCCAACATGAACTAATTACTTTTCTAGTTCATTTCAATACTCAGAATTAGTATGATCTGTTGTTATGAGTATTCTTTGAGGGGTTGGAAAATTAGTGTTTTCAGTTTTTCTTCTCTAGGAAAACAGGGAGACAAAATTGAGGTGAAAAAGTATTTTATATGTGTGTCATAATTAAATTTGGAGGTGGAATTTGGAGGAACACTCACTGACAGGAATAGGATTTGACTAAAAGCAAACAGAAAAGACCATTTTAAATCAGGATGGTACTCAGAGTTTTTGAAGCATAATGAACAGTACGAACTGGCCATTTGAGAGGATCCATTGAGAATCCTGAAAAAAGAATACATATAGAAAAGGCAAGGAGATGGTTTGGAAGATTCCTTGGCAATAGTCCAGGCATGCAGTAATGAAACTGATAATAACAGAAATGAAAAGGGTGTAATGCATGGATGGAAAAATCTACATTTTTCCTATCAAGGGCCACTTGGACATTTATCGCATTCTTTTACAGGCCATGCAGAATTATCAAATACAATCAGATAGAGCTGGGGGCAACCAGTGAGCAGAATATGTATGATTTTTGTGAACTGTATATATCCTAAAGGTACAGGGAACTGGCCCCCCCTGGTCTAGTCCAGCAGCGATGGAAACTTTCTATCTGGGGAGCAGGAAGAGCCATTAGTGAATTATAGGCATTTGAATTTGGGTAGCAGGATATTGGTGCTGTTGACTGAGGTAATGAAGGTAGGAAATGGGCTAGTTTAGATATTGAAGGAGAGAGGGATTATAGTCAAGGAAGAAGGTACTGAGTGCAAAAAGTTGACTGAGTATCTGGCAGCATGACTGGATATTTCTTTGAGGCAGAATTTTGCTGGGGAGCAAGGTTGGCTTTCAACCTGAGGTCTATCTGTGCCTCCTTAAGCGCAATAATTTTACATATTCCATGTAGTAATAAGACATATGAATGAGATACATTTAAAAATTGCTCATGTAAGGCAGGAGCTAGTGGCTCTTACCTGTAATCCCAGCTCCCAGAAGGCTGAGATCTGAGGATAACAGTTTGAAGCCAGTCCAGGTAGGAGAAAGTCTGTGATACTCTTATCTCCAGTTAACCAGGAAAAAGCCAGAAGTTGAGCTATGGCTCAAGTGGTAGAGCACTAGCCTTGAGCAAAAACATCTCAGGAACAGTGCCCAGTCCTATAGTCAGCACCACACACGATGAATATGTTAGTAGAAAGTTAATATTTTTTTTTTTGGGGTCCAGTCATGGGGCCTGAACTCTGGGCCTGGGCGCTGTCCCTTAGCTCTTCAGCTCAAGGCTAGCACTCTACCACTTGAGTCACAGCGCCACTTCCGGCTTTTTTCTTTTTGCTTATGTGGTGCTGAGGAATCGAACCCAGGGCCTCAGGCATGCAAGGCAAGCACTCTACCACTGAGCCACCTTCCCAGCCCTCTGCTCCTCTTTTGTTGTGTGTGGTGGGTATGTATGTGTGAATACTGGAGCTTGAACTCTGGGCTTCAGCTGGCATTTCACTTAAGTCACACCTCCAATTTTTGGTTATTAATCAGAGATAAGAATCTCAAGCCCACCGGCTCCGGTGGCTCACTCCTGTAATCCTAGCTACTCAGGAGGCTGAGATATGAGGATCCTGGTTCAAAGCCAGCTCGGGCAGGAAAGTCCGTGACACTCTTTCTTCAGTAAACCACCAGAGAACCCAAAGTGGCGCTGAGACAAGATTTTACTCTCTATATAGGATGGCCTTGAGTATCCTCAACTTGCCATCCTCCTATTTCTATGTGCTGAGGTTTCAAGGTTGTACCACCTCACAAAGTAAAACAATCAACTTCTAATAGGGATAGTATCTTATTCATCCCTGTTTCATAGCAATGTGATTTGTGGGTAGATTTGGGTACCACAACATAGTTCTCAACTCTGGTTTTTTGGGCATCAGGCTCTTTTGTGTTTTTTGTCTATCCTTCCTCCTTTACTTCCCTTTTCCTTCTCTCTGTTTCATAGCCCATGCTAGCCTTACTCAAAATTCTTCTTTCTCATCATCCTAACTAAGTTCTGGGATTGTAGGCTTACACTACCATATCCAACTCAGCTTTTACTTGCCCTTTTTTTTTAAAAAAATATTTACTTTATTTTTAACTTCAAGTGGAAAAAAAAACTTTTTCCAGATTTTTTACTGTGATTAACTGTTTATGTAATTTCTCAGATTTCACAGTATTGTGGGATATTGACGCTTAGTTAAAGTCACAAACACATTCTAACTTTCATGGAGCAAATTGTCTATCATGGTCTATAACATTTATGAGTTCTATGAGCTTTGCAATAGTTATTTCTTCGACATTGGCCTTTTGTAATTGTTTTAACTGCAAAGCCTTTGTAAACCTTATTTTGGATAAATTCACAGTAAATTCCTGTTGATACTGAAGAGTTAATATAATACTTTTAAAAATTGCTTTTGAGGCCAGGCATTGGTTTATACCTCAAGAGACTTGAGAACTGAGGATTGCAGTTGGAAGCCAGCTCAGGCAGAAAAGCCCATGAGATCCTTACCTCCTATTAACCACCAAAAGCCAGAGTGGTAGAGTACTAACCATGAGCAAAAAAAGCACAGGGATAGCACCTACACCCTGCCTTCAAGCCCCAGATTATTATACAAGTCAAACTGACATGTAAAGCTGCAACATAGAAAAATTTTTATGAGTATTGTGTGAACCTTATGAAATGCTGTTTAAAAATATGTGCACACATCTCCTTGTGCTTGTTTTATTTCTTTATTGGGTAGTTAAACAGATGTGTATTGTAATTATTTTCCTTAGATGGAGATGGTGATGGAGATGGAGCAACTGGAAAGAAGAAGAAAAAGAAGAAGAAGAAGAGAGGACGTTAGTATCTTGTTTTTAATTTTATTTGATGAAGTCGTGATTGTAAGCTTACAGCTTTAAAGATTTCATTAGAAGGGGCTGGGAAGGTGGCTCAGTGGTAGAGCGCTTGCCTGAGGCCCTGGGTTCAATTCTTCAGCACCACATAAGCAAAAAGAAAAAAGCCGGAAGTGGCGCTGTGGCTCAAATGGTAGAGCGCTAGCCTTGAGCTGAAGAGCTGAGGGACAGCGCCCAGGCTCAGAGTTCAGGCCCCACGACCGGACCCAAAAAAAAAAAGATTTCATTAGAAGTGTTTAAGGGGCTGGGAAGGTATTCAGTGGTAGAGTGCTTGCCTTGCATGCATGAGGCCCTAGGTTCGATTCCTCAGCACCACATAAGTAGAAAGAGCTGGAAGTGGCACTGTTGCTCAAGAGGTAGAGTGCTAGCCCTGAGCTGAAGAGCTGAGGGACAGTGCCCAGGTCCAGAGTTGAGGCCCCACGACCAACCAAAAAAAAAAAAAAAAAAAGTGTTTAAGATTCTAATATCTGTCAGGGAAGTAGATGTAAGAGTTTGAATTACTGGAACTAATTATATAATGCTTTGGTTTAACAATCTTGTAAGTATTTCCTATAGGTATTAGCTAAGAAGGGTTTTTGTGAGTTGGTTTCATTTAATCACAAGTTCAGGATGAATTCTTTAAAGTTATATAATTATTTTTTAACCTTGTTCATGGGGCTTGACCTTAGGGCCTGGGCACTGTCCCTGAACTTTTTCACTCAAAGCTAGTGCTCTACCACTTTGAATCATAGCAACACTTCCTCAGTCTCCTGAGTCACTAGGATTGCAGGCATGAGCCACTGGCAGCTGGCTAAGGTTTTAGAGTTTATTTATTTATTTATTTTAATTTTTAATTCTTTATTTTTTTATTGTGAAAATACCATACAGAGCAGAGGGGTTAAAATTACATGGGCGGGCTGGGATGTAGCTCAGTGGCAAAGCGCTTACCTAGCAAGTACAACGTCCTGGGTTCGATCCCTAGTACCAAAAAAGAAAAGACAAAAAAAAATACAGTTAAAATTACATGGGCAAGATAGTGAGTACAAGTTTTAGAATTTAAACCTTGCTTAAGTTGTGCTATTTTAACTATGTAAAAGTATGGTTCTGTTTGTATTGTCTTTTTGTAGATGCATAACCAAGTGGGTTCAGGGGCCTGGAAATATACCAAGGTGACTAAGGAGATTGGATGGTGTTAGGAAGTAAAGATTGGGTTGAGTCTGGGAGCCCATGGCTCGTGCCTGTAATCCTAGCTACTCTGGAAGCTGAGATAGGAAGATCATGGTTCAAAGCCAGCCAGAGTGGAAAGTCTGTGATATCTCCAATTAACTACCAGAAAACGGGAAGTGGCTCTATGGCTCAAGTGGTACAGCACTAGCCTTGAGCTAAAGAGCTGAGGGACAGTGTGCAGGCCTAGAGTTTGAGCCCCATAACCAACCAAAAGAGTAAAAAGATTGGGTTGAAAATTCAGAACATGTTAGATGTAATAATCTTGGATGCCCTTTGGGCTTTTAGAGATTTAAAATCTAGTTGAAATCTTGCATACTAAATTTTGTGAATCAGAATTTTGAGGGATGCCTTCCATTTTTATCTCTTGAGAGGAGTACTTGGTTAGTTTTTTGTGTTTTTTTTTTTTTGTTTGTTTGTTTTTTATTTTATGACCCTCAGATCTCAGCCTCCTGAGTAGCTGGGATTATAGGTGTGAGTCACTGGAGCCCAGTTTAGGTTATTTTTTTTTTTAATAAGCTTTTTCTTTTGTCAGCCATTCCCTGTGACTCCCCTGGTGCTTTGATTTTAATGTTAACTAGAGGTTTACATTTAAACCATGGAAGTTAAAAAAAGCACAAGAACTATAATAACTATTATACTAAGAAGGATGAAATAACTGCTTAGTTGTTTTTTTTTTAACAGCAGGAATTAATGCTTTGTTCCTACCTTAACAGCAAAAGTTCAAACAGACCCTCCCTCCGTTCCAATATGTGACCTATATCCTAATGGTGTGTTTCCCAAAGGACAAGAGTGCGAATATCCACCCACACAAGATGGGTAAGGATCATAACTTTCATTATCACTTTTGAGAGTTGTACCTTAGCAGTATAACAGATTTAATTTTGCCCTACTATTGAAAATCTATGACTTTATTCACAGGAACAAAGAAAATAGAAGCCCTCTTATCCAAAGTAATTTGGACCTGTAGGAAGTTGACTAAAAAAACAAAGTAACTACTAAAAAGTTAAATATTTATGAAGACTAAATTAAATTTTTCACCCCAAAATTTTAGTGTGATTTGCATTAGATTCTACTTTTTCCTTCCATTAGTTATTCATAAATGCATTATCTATAATTTTCATTTTGGGTTTCTGTGAAGAAAAAGTCAAGTTTATACTAAGGTTGGTGCCTTATCTTTTTCCCTGAAAACGTTTACTAATCTTATCTACCACATGTACATACACACCTGTATGTGTGTGTTGTGTGTGTGTGAGAGAGAGAGAGAACGCCTCTGTGCACATGCATGTGCAAGCACTCTGAACAGTACTGGGGCTTGAATTCAGGACTTTTTGCTAGTTAACTGGAGGTAAGAGTCTCTTCCCTAGTCTCTTCTGCCTTGGCTGGCTTTGAACTTCAATTCTCTGATCTCAGTCTCCTAAGTAGGTAGAATTATAGGTATGAGCCTCTAGTACCTAGCTGTCTACACTTAATTTGACATAAGTACTTTGATGATTTGTTTATTCAAGTTTTCCAGAGGCGTCAGTGTTAATATGTTATTAATTTATACAATTACAGCAAGTACAGATGACTTAAACTGATTTAGGTACAAAGTAACTTATACATAGAAGTGTTCTGTAAGAATACATATTCAACTGGTCAGCAGAACTTCACAGTGGCATGCGGATTGATGAAGCATGGGAACTGGAACCCAGCAGATAATTTGATATCTAGGTTTGTTTGTTTGTTTGTTTTTGTCGTCGTGGGGTTGAACTCTGGGTTTGGGCACTATCCCTCAGCTCCTCAGCTCTTCAGCACGAGGCGAGCGCTCTACACTTGAGCCACAGTGCCACTTCTGTTTTTGTAGTGGTTTATTGGAGATAAGAGTCTCACGGACTTTCCTGCACAGACTGACTTTGAACCATGATCCTCTGATCTCAGCCTCTTGAGTAGCTGGGATTATAGGTGTGAGCCACCAGCGCCCCGCTTGATACCTAGTTTTTTTTTTTTTTTTTTGTCGGTTGTGGGGCTTGAACTCTGGGCCTGGGCGCTGTCCCTCAGCTCTTCAGCTCAAGGCAAGCGCTCTACCACTTGAGCTACAGTGCCACTTCTGGTTTTCTGGTGGTTTATTGGAGATAGGAGTCTCACGGTGTCTCCTGCCCGGGCTGGCTTTGAACTGCGATCCTCAGATCTCAGCCTTCTGAGTAGCTAGGATTACAGGCATGAGCCACCAGCGCCCGGCTTGATACCTAGTTTTAACACTTAATTTTCTTTGTGACTTGGGCTTCATTTCTTCATTCATAAAATGGGCCGTTCATAGGCTTGTTGAGAGGAGTGATATGTAAAACACCTGGACAAGTAACAGATGAATGTTGAATATTAAGTTAATGCTGTTGTTATTATCAGACTAGTAGACTGTCAGCCACAGATATTCATAGCAGCATGGACATTGACCAGTATTTTTTATGGAAGGAATTAGGAACATCAGTCGCCGAAATAGTTGGTCAAGAAAGCTTCTACTGTAGTATTGTTTTATTGACTTATTCATTGACTTATTTTTCTTTGAGCATAGTGACTTTCATCTATAATCCTAGCTATTTGGAAAATAGAGATCAAGAGGGTTGTGATTTGAGGCCAGCTCAGGCAAAAAGTTAGTGAGACTGTCATCTCAAATGATAAGCTGGACATGGTTGCATACACCTATAATCCCTGATATATGGTAGACATAGGGGGATCACAGTCCAATGCAGGATCAGGGTAAAAATACATGACTATCCAAAAGTAACGTATTTTTACCCTGATCCTGCATTGGACTATCCAAAAGTAACTCAAGGAAAACACTTGGGGTGTGTGTCAAGTGGTAGAGCAAGTGCCTAGTAAATGTGAGGCCCTTAGTTCAAAGTTCAAATTCCAGTTGTTCCCTCTTCCCAACAAATAAGAGCTATGTCTCCCCCCCTCCAAACTGGTATTGGGACTTGCACTTGCTACACAGGTGTTCTACTACTGAGCCATACCTCCAGCTCAGTGAACCATGTCTTTGAAAGGGCGATTACTTCCACTAGAGGTGGCTTTAAGTGGTAGGGTGTTTGCCTTAACATGCACAGGCCCTGAATTCATTCCCTGATGCCTTACATGGGGGGGAAAAAAGGGTTACTTCTAGACATATAATCAGAAGTCTTCATAGGCTTGTGTTTTGAGGAAATGTATATGGACTTCCAGGTCAGGTCTTTAGGGTTGGCCCACTGGATCATGCTTACAAAAAACTGCATGGACAGTTTTTCCTTGACATTCCTTATGCAATAGTGTGACAACTATTTACCTACCACTTGCATTATATTAGGTATTTAAAGTATAGAGATTATATATAGGAGGCTGTGCATAGGCTATATACAAATACAACATCATTTTATATTGGACTTGAGCATCCATAGATCTTACTTACCCCATGGTAAGGACACCTCTATCCTATTCTGGAACCAGCCTTCCATACTGAGGACAGTTGTACTTAACCCTGTTGGCTAATTTTCGTGATATGTCTTTGGAGGCTTGTATATATTACTTGCAATAGAAGGATGGCTTTTTCCCTCCCCACAAGATTTTTGGACATAGCCTGGTGCCTGTGGCTCACACCTGTAATCTTAGCTACTGAAGAGGCTGAGATCTGAGGAACACGGTTCAAAGCCAGCTTGGGCAGGAAAGTCCATGTGACTCTTAACTCCAATTAACCACAAGAAAACCAGAAGTAGAGCTGTAGCTCAAGTGGTAGAGCACTATCCTTGAGCTGAAGAGTTGAGGGACAGTGCCCAGGCCCAGAGTTGAAGCCGACAACCAACAAAAATAAATAAATGAATAAATATAAATAAAAAAATATATATCTATTTCTAGGACACTTCTGACTATGCTGATTCTCTTTTGGTGTGTTGATAGGATATTAGAGTACCTAAAAATCTTTTTTTTTTGTTGTTGTTGTTGATTGTGGGGCTTGAACTCTGGGCCTGGGCACTAGCCCTGAGCTCTTCAGCTCAAGGCAAGCACTCTACCCCTTGAGCCACAACTCCACTTCAGGTTTTCTGGTGGTTTATTGGGGGTAAGAGTCTCACAGACTCCTGACTTTCCTGCCTGGGCAGCCTTTGGAACCGTGATTCTCAGATCTCAGACTCCTGAGTAGCTAGGATTATAGGCGTGAGCTACCACATCTGGCTATAAAAATCTTTGAAAAGGTAAAAGTATGTACTTAAGTACTTCAGAAACTTTGACACATAGAAACTGAATATTTGGTATAATTTTCCTTGGCTTTTATATTTGTTGTGCTGGGTTTTTTTTGTTTTTTTATTGACTCATTCTGCTATGCCTATTGTAAAGGCGAACAGCTGCTTGGAGAACTACAAATGAAGAAAAGAAAGCATTAGACCAAGCCAGTGAAGAGATTTGGAATGATTTTCGAGAAGCTGCAGAAGCACATCGGCAAGTTAGAAAATATGTTATGAGCTGGATCAAGCCTGGGATGACAATGATAGAAATCTGGTAAAAGGAATATATTTTAAGACCATGCCTTTTTTAAAAAAAATTTTAGTACTACATAATGTTTGGCTTTCTACTTCTTGGTTAATGAAACTTTTATATGATATGTTCTGAGTTCTTCAGAGTACCACTGCAATGAGGAAACATAAGAGATGCCCAGACATGCACCTTCTTTTGTGTGTTTGTTCACTCAGGTGTACTTACACTCATTACCTTGACATTCTGTCTGGAAATCCCTATTAAAAAAATTCAAACTGATGGGGCTGGGAAGGTGGCTCAGTGGTAGAGCGCTTGCTTTGCATGCCAGAGGCCCTGGGTTCGATTCCTCAGCACCACATAAGCAAAAAAAGAAAAAAGCCGGAAGTGGCGCTGTGGCTCAAGTGGTAGAGCGCTAACCTTGAGCTGAAGGACAGTGCCCAGGCCGAGTTCAGGCCCCACGACCGGACCCAAAAAAAAAAAAAAATTCATACTGAGTACCAGTGGCTCATGCCTGTAATCCTAGTTACTCAAGAGACTGAGATTTGAGAGTAGAGGTTCAAAGCCAGCTGGACAGAAAAGTCAATGAAACCTCCAATTACCCACCTAAAAACAGAGATGCAACTGTGGCTCACAGTGGAAGAATGCTAGCTTTGACAAAAAAAATGCAGGGATGACAGTTCTCAGGCCCTGAGTTCGAGCCCCAGGACTGAGAAATGCATACATTCTTGAAGTGCCTAGGTATAAAAATAATAAACCAATAAAGTTGTTTTCCTGCAGAAATAATTGAAATTATCCTTGAAATAATTGGTACAAAGGTACCTCTGATTTAGATAATTAAAATATACAGCATGAGCAAATACAATCATTTATATTGATTTGAAACTTTCATGTACATGAAGTTCAAAGTGGAATTTATTATCTTTTCTAGATAAGATATTTGCATAGCATCAGATTATATCCAGAAAGTGTTCAAATCACTTGTGTGTGGCAAATAAGGATTTTAGTAAGCATCCTGGATTTCCTGAGCTGTAAGAATATACAAATGGAGCTGGGTGCCAGTTGCTCATGCCAGTAATCCTAGCTACTTGGGACTGAGATCTGAGGATTACAGTTCAAAGCCAGCCTGGGTAGGAAAGTCTGTGAGACTCTTTATCTCCAGTTAATCAGAGAAAAAGCTGGAAGTAGCACTGTGTGGCTCAAGTGGTAGAGCACTAGCCTTGAGCAAAGGGAGGCCAGAGACAGCACTTAAGTCCAAAAAAACCCCCAGGATTATAAAAGTAAATATGTTTTGTTTTCTTTTTGTTTTAGTGAAAAATTGGAAGACTGTTCTCGCAAGCTAATAAAAGAAAATGGATTAAACGCAGGCTTGGCATTTCCTACTGGGTGTTCTCTCAATAATTGTGCTGCACATTATACCCCTAATGCTGGTGACACTACTGTATTACAGTATGATGACATCTGTAAGATAGACTTTGGAACACATATAAGTGGTAAGTTGATAGAAGTAGTTCTGACCACTCTGCCCTGTCCCCAAGGAGGGTGCAGAAAATAATATTTATGTGTTGGATGAAGCTATAAATATTGCAATTCAGATTTTTTTCTTGCCTCTTAAATTTCTACTTATATTGAGGCAGATCTCCTGTAAGGCATCCTACTAAGAATGAAATTGAGGTTTATTATCTTTATATCAGGATATGAGGAGTATAGTCCTACACTTTTCATTCAAGTCATTATTTTAAGTTTATTAAATGTTTTTTATTTGTTTGCTTTTTTTGGGGGGGGGTCCGGTCATGTGGCCTGAACTCTGGGCCTGGGCGCTGTCCCTCAGCTCTTCAGCTCAAAGCTAGCGCTCTACCCCTTGAGCCACAGCGCCACTTCCGGCTTTTTTTTTTTAATGTGGTACTGAGAATTGAACCCAGGGCGTCAGGCATGCAAGGCAAGTGCTCTACCACTGAGCCACCTTTCCAGCCCCTATTTGTTTGCTTTTTACAATCATGTCAAATCCTAAACCCAAATACATTTTTATCTCAGCAGACAAAGCAAATTTCAACTAAGTATTTGTTTATTTTAAGGTTTTACTACCTTGGATAAGTGGCACTGTTTGAGCTGATGGTCATATCCATATTTTCTCCCCTGCACTGCTATTCTATATTCCTGGTCTTTTCTTGCTTGTTTCTCTGCTTGCATGACTGCCTAGGTCTTAGGAGTAACAAATACCCCTGTAATGATATATTTCATTCTGAAATATTTAAATGGTTTCTACCTTTTTGCTTGATTATAAATAATCTCTGGGGACTTGGGATGCTGTTCTTCTTCATTCTATTTTGAATGCTTCCAGCATTCTCTTTTCCTTCAGCAAGGCTAATAATAATATACTAGCTGGGTGCTGGTAACTCATACCTGTAATCCTAGCTACTCAGGTGGTTGAGAAATGTCCCCATGATACTCTGTATCTTTAATTAACCACTCAAAAACCAGAAGTGGTGCTGTAACTCAAAGGTATAGATAGCATGCTAGCCTTGAGCAAAAGAGCTCAGAGACAAGGACCTGAATTCAAGCCCCACAATTAACAAATGAATAAATAAAATGCTATAATGTAGATAAGTTGATCAGTAAACTCAAAGATGAACTTTTTTTTTCAGGTAGGATTATTGACTGTGCTTTTACTGTCACTTTTAATCCCAAATATGATATGTTGTTAAAAGCTGTAAAAGATGCCACTAATACTGGAATAAAGGTATGTATGTGAATTGTTACATGCTATTTCATTGAACATACTTTGAATACTTATATATCCTGTTTCAAGGCCTGTGGGTAGTTAAGAGGAATTACCTAAGTTACTACTTTTAGGGTCTTGGGTGGATAATAGTAATATACTGCAGACTTTTTTGAAGGTTCAACTTTACTATTACCTATTAAGACAGATGTTATTTATTTATTGCTTGTAGAATTGGCTGTGTTTGTCTTTATTTAGTTCATTTTTATTGTTAGTAGACTAGTTTTTAAAGTAATTTTAGGTTCACAGCAAACCTGAGTATAGACACCTTCCCACAATGTTTGCCCACACACATAAAAGTTCCTACACTGTTCACTTCCCAAACTCAGGTATTAAAAACATTGAACCAACATTTACTCATGGTAATCACCCAAAGTCCATAGTTTACTTTAGGGTTCACTTAGTTTTGTGCATTCAGTGAGTTTTGACAAATACAAAATGACACAATTATAATTTTATAAAGTATTTTCATTGTCTCCCAAATTCTTTGTGATTTATCAATTAATCTTCCTGCTAGACCATGGTGCAGCCCAGATTCCCTCACATTTGTGTGTGAATGTGCATGCATGCTTGTGTCCGCATGCATATGCACACATATGCTAATGCTAAATCTTGAACTCAAGGCCTTGGTGTTATACTCTAGCTTTTCTGCTCAAGATTGGTGTCCTGCCTTTTGAACCACAGCCTCGCTTCTGCCATATTTTGGTCATTAGTTGGAGATAGAGAAGAGAGTCTCACACACTTTCTGCAGAGGCAAACTTTGAACACAGCCTCCTGAGTAGCTACAATTATAGGCATGAGACACTGGCACCTGGCCATTTGTCTTTTGAGTGGGATAATTGTCACAAAATTTAAGAATATAGAAACAACATTAAATACAACTGACAATAACACGAAACTGAAATACAGCTTTTCCATATCAACTGAGCTGCAGTTTGTTTTGAAATTTCTTTTGATTTAAAAAAAAAATATTTATTTTTGACCATGCTTGGTGAAAACTTAGTAATTGAAAAAAGGTAGATTTCTCAACTCACCTGCTGTTTTCTTTGGTTTTGGTGTGTTTTTTTGTTTTTGTTTTTGTTTTTTTGAGATATTATTTGAACTCTGGCTTGAACTCAGACTCTTGATTGCTTGTTTTGGTTTTGCTTATTTTGGGGGTAGGGTCTTTTGTTTTGAGGTGGCTTCAGACTGTAATCTTTCTACCTAGGTGGCATTTCTATGGCTTGGATTACAGGCACACACCACTACGATTGATTTATTTGAAATGGTATCTCATTAATTTTTCGCTCAAGTTGGCCCCAGATTAGGATTCTCCAAATCTGCTCCTGTCCTGTATTACATGAGCATGGTAACCTATGTAGTCACAGTACTTGGAAGACTGAGGCAAAAAGATTGCAAGTTCATTGATAGATTGGGCTATACAACCATACCCTGTCTCAAGAAAACACAATATTTATGATTGTGTTTGGTTTTCACAAGTTTTTCAATTTGTTCCCTAGTATTAGTTTCACTGTTGATTTCTTCATCTCATTTTGGTTATAGAAGATACCATGTTGTAAAACTTCATGAGACTTGTGTTCAATGCATATTCTATCCTGGAAAATGATGTGCACCTATACTCTGTATCCATAAGCTATGCTGTTCGGTAGTATCTTTTGCATATTTCTACTTTGTTTAGTCCTTGTATGTATGTGTGTGTGCTGTGTACATGCCTGTGCAAGTACTCCTTGTGCATATTATTCTACCATCTTTCTAAAATTCTTCCTAAGTTTTTTGTACAGTTGTATTTATAATATACAAAGCGGTTTTCCTAGTTGTCCTTTATTTTAAATTATTAAGAAAATAAGCCATGATAAAATTTTACACTTTGAAAAGCAAAGTATATATTGTTCTTTTTTTAGTGTGCTGGAATTGATGTTCGTCTATGTGATGTTGGTGAGGCCATCCAAGAAGTTATGGAATCCTATGAAGTAGAAATAGATGGGAAGACCTATCAAGGTTTGGTGAAATCAACTTCACAAAACTACTGTTGATTTCCTTGTTTTAGTCAGCTGCTCAGTTCATTGAATAATTACTGTAGTCATTACTTGAGAGCTATTACTAATCTACTATGATGCTTGATAAGACATCTGGGCAACCCTAAGGTGGCCAGAATTTGAGTAAGTTTTCTTTTGTGTGTGTGGCTAGTCAAATCAGGATTCAGAAGCCAGAGGCCTTTTCCTTAGAGAGCAGTTGATTCTTTTAGTTGAAGGGACCAGTGTGTCCCCTCAGTTCTCAGGTCTAGCTGGTGGTTCCCCAGCCATAGTTCACTTTTCTGGTCTTCGCTTAATCCTTTTTGTAGACACATAATATATTTCTTAGAGAATAGTTCCTTTGATAAAATGTTATTTCAGCTTTATTATAGACTTGCAAATCAAAACTATCTTGGTATCCTGTCCCTTACTTTTAGTAACTTCATGTTTTTGTGAAATTCACATGAGTAAAGTTGGCATTGTGTTTTTCTATTGCCATCTGTACACCGTTGGGGTTTTTGTTGGTATTGTTTTTTGGCCTAGTGAAATACAATTCTTACAGTTCTTCCACTGAGATCTGACAGCGTCTGTTGTTGCTCATATTTATCTCACTTTGACTTCTGGCACCATCTTAACTTGTGTTGGCATACTGAGTGTAGATTCAGAATCAGTGATTTAATTAACTTTGGCATGACTACTCATCTGACCAACTCAGTGATTCCTTCCATAACAGTCTTCTCCCATGTACCAATATTGAAAATTATCACCAGTCTTAGAGGCAATTGCTAATCTTTTTCTGTTCAGCCCTTTAATTTCCTTTTTTTATGTATCAAAGTATTCTTGGGGCCTGGAGTTGGAGCTTGGTGGTAGAGTGTCTGCTTAGGAATCAAAGGTCGCAAAAACTAATTTGTGTTTTTAAAGATACTCTCATCTCTACAGTGTGCCAGGTTGCATTTCCTTTCCTCTGTCTTGTCACCATGACAGTATCCATTGTTCCCTTTCATTTTATCTTCAACTTTCTTGCTGCTTTGATTTTCAGAAAATCTTCTCTTCTAGGTCTCTATTCCAGGGGGTGTCAATGCAAGCCAAAATACTCTTTACCTGCTCAAACTTGAATAGACATACTGTAGAGCAATTGAGAAACCATACTTTGAAGCCAGGCAGATTGACCTTAGAGAAATTCTGTAATCTTTTAAGTTCCAAAGTTACCTGAATAAGAGTTGGTGATTGGCTGGGCACTATTGGCTCATACCCATAATCCTACCTATTCAAGAGGCTGAGATCTGAGGATTACTGTTCAAAGCCAGCTCAGGCAAGAAAGTCTGAGAGACTCCATTTGTAATAAATTACCAAAAAAGCCCGAAGTGGAACTGTGGCTCAAGTATTAGAGTGCTAGCCTTGAGCAGGAGAAGCTTAGAGACTGTGCCCAGGCCCTGTTCTTAAAAAATATCATGTTAATTGCTTTTGAGAAATATATATTACATGACAGTTTTTGAAATTTACCATGTATTCAACAATCTTTTTTTTTTCAAAATTTTTATTGTGATTAAGTAGTTACATAATTTCCCAAATTTCACAGTATTGTGGGATAGTGATGCTTAGTTAAAGTCACAAACACATTCTAACTTTCATGGAGCAAATTGTCTATCATGGTCTATATCATGAGTTCTATGAGCTTTGCAATACAGTTATTTCTTCCACATTGGGTGATATGTACATTTCTTTTGTTTTGCATAGCATCAGCTCTTCCCTCTTTCCCACTTGTTCCCTCCCTCCCATCGCTGCCATTGAGTTGCTTAGTTCATTTTGGTCAATGTCCAGTGCAGCTCCCACTGTTGTATGTTTTCCCCTGATTCCCTCTACTTCTGTGTCGTTGTCCTGGTTTGTATTCAACAATCTTTTTCTTTTTTTGGGGGGGTCCAGTCGTGGGGCCTGAACTCTGGGCCTGGGCGCTATCCCTCAGTTCTTCAGCTCAAGGCTAGCGCTCTACCACCTGAGCCACAGCGCCACTTCCGGCTTTTTTTCTTTTTGCTTATGTGGTGCTGAGGAATTGAACCCAGGGCCTCAGGCATGCAAGGCAAGCGCTCTACCACTGAGCCACCTTCCCAGTCCCTGTATTCAACAATCTTAAATGTTCACTTCTCCCCTTTTTGCCCCTAATTCTGAGATTGATGCCACAGATTATGATGCTTCATTTCTTTTCTCTAAGAAAGTTGCTTGATGTATATGATAACCAGATAGGATTAGCATCCCATAATTTTTGCCATAATTCAAAAACTTTTTTCTGTCATTGGTCTTCAAAGAAGTATTCTATTTTATTCACATTCATTGCCCTATCTCATTTGAAATACCACCTTATTACCCCTTTCTTCTATGTTCTTAGTAGCTCAGTGAAAAACCTGGGAGAAGCCGAGCACTCTTGGTTCATACCTGTGATGCTAGCTACTCAGGAGTCTTGAGATCTGAGGATTGTGGTTCAAAACCAGCCTAGGCAAGATAGTCCATGAGACTCTTATCTCCAGTTAACCACCAGAAAACCAGAAGTGGAGCTATAGTTCAAAAATGCTAGCCTTGAGCACAAAATATCAGCGACAACATGTAGGCCCTGAATTCAAGCCCCACAACCCTCAAAAAATAAAGACTGGAAGAGATGAAAGTTATTGTACTAGATAATCTCCTTTACATCTTCTCTAGGTTTGGCTTTTAATACTGTCATGTGAAAATCTTATAAATATTCCTCTTAGGGGGTTAAAAGAGTAAGGATAAACCTACTTTTCTGTATTGCCTCTGCAAAATATTGTCTAATTCTTTTAAAAGTTTATAAACAGAGCCAGGCTCTGGTGGCTCATGCTGTAATCCTAGCTTCTCAGGAGGTTGAGATCTGAGGATTGCAGTTCAAAGCCAGCCTGGGCAGGAAAGTCCGTGAGATTCTTATCTCCAATAAACTACCAGAAACCCGAAGTGGTACTGTAGCTCAAGTGGTAGAGCACTTGCTTTGAGCTGAAGAGCTGAGGGACAGTGCCTAGGCCCAGAGTTCAAGCCCCACAGCCGACCAAAAATAGAAAGTTTAGAAACAATTTTAGTCTTGTCTGTTTCTGTTAACACCTCAGACTTTTAATAACATGAGCTTTTCAGAGCACAATCTAACCCAGGAGAAAAAGATTGAGAGACTAAATGCCTAGCTATTTTGAGAAATGTGGTACCGTACAATGAGCCTATTGACTTGAAGGTTCAAAACTGTAAATAGAGGTTAGTTCCCTCCGAATTTATTACATAGTAAATTTTAACAACAAATCTGCTTGAATGTGCCTGTAGATTGAGTTCCCTGAATTTGCTGAAATTATTAAAAATTCTAATATCTGTCAATAGATTCCAAGGTTGGAATTCTTAACACCTGCCTTCTTATTTTTCCCATTAAGCTCCTCTAGCATTTTAGGTTCTATTATTCCATTATTCCTCTTTGGAAATGTTACTGTATTAATAAGGTTTTTTAGTTGGAACATAACAGAATTCAGATTGAGAGGATGAAGAAATGGGCTAAACTTTAAGGAGCAATTTCAAAAAAAACCACATAGCAGAATGGGGCCATAAAGTTAGTTTCATGTTCCTTAATCAGGAAATAAAGAATTGTAGCTTACTTTTAAATCTTTTGTCCTCAGGTTTAAAGTACTGTGTTAAAATACGTGTAAGCAAAAATGGATATCCCTATATTGTTTTTTGTTTTTTTTTTTTTTGTATAGCTACATATTAGATGGTATAGCTAAGAAACTCTGAAGATAAAAATGTGATTGGCATGCTGGGAAGGTGGCTCAGTGGTAGAGCACTTGGCTTGCATGCATGAAGCTCTGGGTTCGATTCTTCAGCACCACATAAGCAAAAAGGCAGAAGGGCTCTGTGGCTCAAATGGTAGAGCACTAGCCTTGAGCTGAAGAACTGAGGGACAGCGCCCAGGTCCAGAGTTCAGGCCCCATGACCAGACACCCCCCCCCAAAAATGTGATTGGCTTATGGGGTCAGCTTGCCAGATTTTGTAATAATTACATCAAGATCTTAAAATTCAGCTTACTTAATGAAGGTTCTTTTAAGCATCTTGATAGTTACTTTACTGTGCTGTCTCTAAATTTGTAATTTGTCATTATTTTCTAGTTTTTTTTTAATATTGCTACCTAAGTCTGCTCTAGAAGAAAAATATCTTCATACTGAGGATTCTAGAACTATAGAGTTTATTTATTTATTTATTTTTGTCTGTTGTAAATGCTCTACCATTGAACCTTATCACCTCTTTGGTTTTCTGGTGGTTTGTTGGAGATGAGTCTCATGGACTTTCCTGCCCCCGGTTGGCTTTTGAATTGTGATCCTCAGATCTCGGCCTCCTGAGTAGCTAGGATTACAAGCATGAGCCACCAGCACTTGGCTGATTTATTTTTTTGAACTATTAAAAGACTTATGGAGTATAACTGAAAAAGCACAAAGCCCATTCAACTTCTCAATTGCCAAAGATGTGACCATATCTCTTTCAAGAGTATTGTCTGTGTTCCAGAAACCGCTCAATCCCATTGTCTTGGTTTATTTTGTGCTGTCATAAAAGAATACCTACAACTGAGTACTCTTATGTGAACAGAAATTCTCATAGGCTTGGACATCCAAGATCAAAGGACTACCATCTAGTGAAGGCCTTGCTGTGTGTGTTACTTTGTGGCATCTTGTAAGGGCCAAGACACAGAACCAGCATGCATACAAAGTAGGCCTTCATTCATTCTTACAAGGAACCCACTCCTAGGATAATAGCATTAATTTATTCATGGAGTCAGTGCTTTCTTAACTCATTAGATTCCACCTCCCAGCACCATTGTATTGTGGATCAAGTACATGTGTGGATCAATACAAGAGCTTTAGAGGACATATTCAAACAGAACTTGTACGACTTTCCAATTGCAGCAGCCTAACTCTAGTGAACCACTATTTTGACTACTAATGGATTTGCATTTGCTTCTCTTTACATCTTTGTCTAGTATGTATCTCTAACAGCTTTTTTAGTTGTACTTAATTTTGAACTTCGTTTAGTGGAATTGCTGTATATAACTGTGCCTTTTTGCTCATTTCATCATAACATTCCAGTTGTTACATGTATCCATAGCTTTGTTTTTGTTGTTGAATAATGTTCCCATTGTAACTATCCCACAGTTTATTCTATAATTTTGTCACTGAGATTAGATTTTTTTTATAACCATAATAAAGGCCAACAGTCTTTCTAGAGGTCCTGAGTAATGGGTATTTCCCTATTTCTACTATGACAGTGAAACCAATCCGTAACCTAAATGGACATTCAATTGGGCCTTATAGAATACATGCTGGGAAAACCGTGCCCATCGTGAAAGGAGGGGAGGCAACAAGAATGGAGGTATGTAAGTTGTTAACAATTAAGGGTTTGGAGCTTTTATTTACCTGTAACTGGGATTAAATTCTGGGCCTTATATATATATTAGGAAAGTACTCTACCAATGAGCCACACCCCTTACCCAGCACTTCTGTGGATAGCATTTTCTTCCTTCTCCCAACTTAAAGCTTATGACAATTTAGTATATTGAAATAATGGTACCATTTATACTTGCAGAACTTGGGCTGTGGGACGATGGTTTATAGTCAAACCAGGGGCCAGTCAGCTGTAAAAACGGGTTGTCAAAGTATTGTTTATCCAATATTTAGTATTTATTGACCATTATAGCTGCTAGTCTTTTTTAGTAGATACTGGGATATAGAAATGAACAAAATTCCTTGCCATGTAAAGCCTACAATTCTGATAAGGGATATATATGCAGAAGGTCAAAGTGTGCTAAGTAAGGCAGAGAAAAGTTGAATAAGGACCTCATCAAGGGGGAAATAAAAATGGCAGTTGGAGGGGCTGGGAAGGTGCCTCAGTGGTAGAGCGCTTGCCTTGCATGCCTGAGGCCCTGGGTTCGATTCCTCAGCACCACATAAGCAAAAAGAAAAAAGCCGGAAGTGGTGCTGTGGCTCAAGTGGTAGAGCGCTAGCCTTGAGCTGAAGAGCTGAGGGACAGCGCCCAGGCCCAGAGTTCAGGCCCCACGACTGGACCAAAAAAAAAAAAAAATGGCAATTGGAATCAAGCACTGGTAGCTCTAGTCTGTAGTCCTAAACTACTCAGGAGGCTGAGATCTGATGATTGAGGTTCCAAGTCTTCCTGGGCAGAAAGGTCCATGAGACTTATCTGCAATTAACCACCAAAAAGCTGGAAGTAGAGCTGTGAGTACTAGCCTTAAGGGGAAAAGCACCCAAGACCCTGACCACTCACACACAAAAATCATTGCAATTACTCCTAAATTATTCTGTCACCTTGATCCTTATGTTTTTGAAGGAAGGAGAAGTGTATGCCATTGAAACCTTTGGTAGTACAGGAAAAGGTGTCGTTCATGATGATATGGAATGTTCACATTACATGAAAAATTTTGATGTTGGACATGTGCCAATAAGGTGAGGCTTGATATTTATGATTTGAGTATCTTTCCAATTAATAGCATATACATAATGTGATATATAAAGTGGTATATTAATAAGTGTACTTTTTTGTTGTTGTTGTTGGTGGTGGGGCTTGAACTCTGGGCCTGGGCGCTGTCCTTGTGCTCTTCAGCTCAAGGCGAGTGCTCTACTGCTTGAGCCACAGCACCACTTCCGGTTTTCTAGTGGTTTATTGGAGATAAGAGTCTCACGAACTTTCCTGCCTGGGCTGGCTTTGAACCACAATCCTCAGATCTCAGCCTTCTGAGTAGCTAGGATTACAGGCATGAGCCACTGGTGCCCGGCTTAATAAGTGTACATTTTTTATGGCCTAATAAAACTGGATTTCAGCTGAGCCTCTAATTCTATCTACTCAGGAGGCTGAGATCTGAGAATCTCAGTTTGAAGCCAGCCTGTACAGAAAAGTCTGAGACTCGTCTCCAACTAACACCCAGAAAACCAGAAGTGGCACTGTGGCTCAAAGTGCTAGCCTTGAGCAATAAAGCTCAGGGACAGTGCCCAGACCCTGAGTTCAAGCCTCATTACTGACAACACCTGGATTTCAAGTCATCCCTTGCTGTGTCACAGTTCATTTATTGCAGCTTCAGGGGTTTAAAAAATATTTTCTAAGCCGGGAACCAGTGACTCACACCTGTAATCCTAGCTACTCAGGAGGCTGAGATCTGAGGATCGCAGTTCAAAGCCAGCCCAGGCAGGAAAGTCCATGATACTTGTATCTTCAATAAACCACTAAAAAACTGGAGTGGCGCTGTGCCTCAAGCGGTAGAGCGTTTGCCTTGAGCTGAAGAGTGCAAGGACAGTGCCCAAGCCCAGAGTTCAAGCTCCACGACTGACAAAAATAAAAAAATATTTTCTGTATCGTGGAGTTTTTGCTATAACTCAGGATTTTGCAGTATGTATTAAGTATTTTTGCCTAGAGATATTTAAATATAAAAACATAAAAAACGTTAATATTAATGAGAATGGGAAAGGTTTATAAAGCCTTAAAATATAAATAACAAATATAATGCTGCTACATTGCGGGTATTTATTTGTCACTGGGGTCTCTGGAATGCAACCCTGTGATAGGCGAGGGCTTTCTGTATTATAGTGAAAAGACTAGCCTGTTAAAAAATTCCATGTGGGTTGAAAATTTGGGCATGTATTTTCCTGCAAGTCTAGGTTTACATAATCATGTCAGTGATCATTGTGCTAGCATTCTTAGGATTTTAGTCTTAATATTTTCTTGTTGGAAGATTCCATATTTTAAATTGTATTTTTAATCTTTTATAGAGGATGAAATTTGAGCTTAAACCTTTGCATGTGGTCTTTGTTTGACAGCAAGGCAATCTTAATCAGTTACTGTCTATAATTGAGGGTGGGCTGTTATACATTCTTGATTTTAATTATTTGAAAGAGCTACAGAAAATTTTGAGCTTTAATTACAAGTGAAGATACAGCTAAGGTTTAGTTTTTCATAGTGGGGGAAATGAATTGGTAACTTGCTATTAATCTTACTCTCTCCTCTTAGGCTTCCAAGAACAAAACACCTGTTAAATGTCATCAATGAAAACTTTGGCACCCTTGCCTTCTGTCGCAGATGGCTCGATCGCTTGGGAGAAAGTAAATACTTAATGGCTTTGAAGAATCTGTGTGACTTGGGCATTGTTGATCCATATCCACCATTATGTGACATTAAAGGATCGTATACAGCACAGTTTGAACATACCATACTATTGCGTCCAACTTGTAAAGAAGTTGTCAGCAGAGGAGATGACTATTAAACTTAGTCCAAATCCACCTCAACACCTTTGTTTTCTAAGCTTTGTTGGAGTACCTTATACCAGAATTAATTCGCAACATGTTATCTGTTTTAACAGTGGACCTGTGTAATACTTCTATCCATATTTAAAGGAATTTGATCAAAGGCAAACAGTCTAATGTAATTAGCCAAGGAAAAGCTTTCAGGACTTTCAAATGTTAACTGTTTCCCCTGTCTAGGAAAGCTCAAATTAGTTAGAAATGATTTGTTTTAAACACCTACAACATGCTTTTTGGATATTTATATTGCCATATTCTTACTTGAATGCTTTGAATGACTACATCCAGTTTGCACCTCTGCCCTCTGGTATTGCTTTTTAACCTTCCTGGAATCCATTTTCTAAAAAATAAAGACATTTTCAGATCTGAGAGCTACATTTCAATGTCTGTGGTTATAATTCTGAGCAGGAAGTAGCTAAACAATGTAGGGAAGTAGGGCCCTTTTAGCCAGACTGTCGACTTCTACACCAAGACTTCTGGCATGGTGGCTAAAATAATATGTGCATAAAATACAATAATCTTTTTCCTCAGACACAAACATACAGCTTTTGGAATATTCTGTCTTCATAAACCACAGTTAGTACTTGCTTTTCTTTTTTTTCTGTCATTGAGATGATGTACTAATTAAAACAACATAGTACAAACATTGTGCCAACCTAGAACACTTTAGTAAACATCAGCATTTCAGCACTTTTATTCATTGGTATTTTTCAGGAAATCTATTCAACTTACTAAAAAATAAAAAACAAGGCATTGGACCCAAAAAGTACAAAGTCTTGTTCTAATTAAAGAGGCTAAGTTGAAACTACGCTTTTTCTACCAGTAAACCAAATGTTTTGTTTGTTTTTGGTTCGTTGTGGGGCTTGAACTCGGCCTGCGCGCTGTCCCTCAGCTCTTTCAGCTCAAGAATATAGCACTCTACCACTTGAGCCACAGCACCACTTCCAGCTTTTTCTGTTTATGTAGTGCTGAGGAAGTGAACCCAGGGCCTCATGCATGTGAGGCAAGCACTCTTACCACTGAGCTACCTTCCCAGGCCATGTTTGAATTCTTAACCTCACAAATGTTGGTGTTCTGGAAGGCAACCTTTATCCTCCATATAGAATCTAAGTGTTAATTTGTGTATTAGAACAAAACATTTTGCTTGTTCAAACTGAGCCCAACCACTGGTTCTCTCAATTATATGTGATTTGTTAGGAATGTTCCACAACCTAATTTTAGAATTATGTGCCAAGGTAAAGCCTTAATTTGTATATTCATTAGCACAATGATTTTATTGCTCTGGGATGCTGTTTTTAACATTTTTGACTGAAGACATATGACTTATATAAGGAAATCATTTGATACATTGGGAAGCTGCTCTCAGCATCTGAGCTATAAATGTTATCTTTTGGGGAAAGCAATCTAGTTTTTAGCAGTCTGAGCTGTTTTTATGGTGCTAATGTTCAGTAGCTACCTTTGAATAATTTCTCCATTTTCTGTGATGCTGTATAAACAGCAAAGCTCAACTAATTCACACTTTGCACACAAGGCTTGAATCTTCCTTTGGGGTTTTGAATCTGTTTATGTGCTTTGGAAGGAATATCAAAGCAAGGAGCTTGATTTCTAAGCCCAGGGTGTTAATAACGGACCCAAGTAAAGTTTTAGAGCTTTCATAGGTCTTTCTAGCAGTAGTGATTTCTGACAAGCTGAAACTTTTGGAAGACATGGCATCACTCTGTCCCTGCATATGGCTGGAAGGAATATAATCTTGTAAATAGGAAAGCTGTCACTTAAGAAAAAGACTGTATTGTTTGCCTAACTAGCCATGTATATCTTGATGTCATTTTGTTATGTTTACAGTGATGTACCTTATTGGCAACAAATTATTAGATGTTTTAACAATAGTGCCTTTAGTAAATTATTCTGCAACCAAAAAAATGTTGTTTTTTTGTTAGATCAATTTAGCAGAATGTAGACACCTATGTTGAGATTTGAGCTGTTTAGTAAGACATCTATGTTTATCGTTTAGGGTTCTTTTTGTTGTTGCTGCTGCTGGTATTTTAAGGTGATTTTCTTAGGGCAGTTTGAGGTTTGACAACATCTACTGGAAAATAGTACAGATTTCCCATATATCTGACCACCCCCAACACATTCTCTTCCATAGGTATTAGTTTACAAAATAAGACAAAATCACTTCTCCATGTATTTCTACTTTGAAATAAATGGAAGCTACTATACCATTATAAATGATAGTCTCAAGTTGTTAAAATCCTATTAAAATAAGTGCTAAATGTGTTGTATGCTAAAAAAAAAAAATCCTTAAAATTAAAGGCTAGACTCAGGCATTTTGACCGCATAAATCTTTAATGAGTTGTAACAGTTGAGATAACAATTTACATAGGTCTTCAGTAAATGAGCATTTTCAAGCCTAGCCATTTAATACTCCAGCTGTATTTTTGGCACAAGTCATTTGTTCAGTGATATCATGCTATCAGTTGCCCCTGGTAACTTATCTGAAACTCAAAACTGGTATAATAGACATTCCTTTCAAACTTACACTTGACAATACAGATGACCACTAGCGGTGAATAGCATTCTCCAGGATATTTCAAGCTGTAAATAAACTCAAGAAAAAAGGGACAAATGATCTTCCAGTGATTAATGCAGCTGATCCATAGAAGTTAGTGGAGTCTCCCCTTTCTAAATTCAGTTATCAGTAGGACTTTTAGAGATAGGGTGAGATACAGAAGAGCAAAGAGTGTCCTGCTGTATTTAATAAGAGGTTTTATATGATTTTTAATGTTTTTAAAAATGGCTTGATGCTCGTTTTTCTAAGGTTCCCAGTAGTCACATAATCTTAGCAAGAGTTAATAAATGAGCCAGGCTTTAGAGCAGTAACATGCCAGGTGTATAGCTTAGGTACCAGTTTTGAACAGTAATCTTGGTCCTGTGCTTTTTCTCTTCAAGATTTCTTTGAACTAAAAATCTCAAGCTACACAGCTTGCTTTAAGAGGTCTAATATTATCAACGTAACTATCCAAGATAAGCTATACTTGTATAGTATACTGGCTTGCTAATGATATTTAGAACCTTAATGCTGCAAACAAATCATCAGTAAGTCCTAGCCACTTTTTTTTAATGTACACAGTTCCAAAGTTCATTTAAATAAACCATTTGTAAATCTGCCATTTTAGTTTGACTATGCCAAATAAGTTTGTAGAGCAATACATTTTTAAGTCAAATTCCACTAACCAAATTCAGCCCCATGGTGTACAAAGCCTCAGGAATATCAGTCTGATTGGTATTCAGGTAACACCTTGAATATAACTGTCAATATTCCAGTTTAACTTCCTTTTAAGGAGCAAAGGTGACATCAATATACAAATGGCCTAAAAGAATTGGTTTTGTTGTGTGTGGGAGGGGTGAGAGTTTAGACATAAGTGTCTAATTTTCTATTTAGAATTTATAGAAAATAGCTACAAAAGAAATATCAAATGTATATAAAATGATGTCACCTGAATTTCTTCAGTGGGTTGCACAATTCATGATCTGAGGCAAATTAAGATATCAAAATATAAAGAGGTAGCACTAGTCTGAGGTAAACACAAAGTTTAAAACTCCCAAATACTTGTAAAAACCTAAGTTACCCACAGATGACATACATATATTTATACTTTGTCTCTGTAAAAAAGTTTTGTTGTAGTTAAATACAAAAATGTATAAATGTAGTGTGCACTGATTTGTAAGTATAAAAAACAATGAAGCTCAAAATTGTAAGTCAGCCCTTTTAAAAAGATATATACAAATCACAAGAAGAAAGCCCCACTGTCTTTAGATCAGCTAAGGATTTCATTAGAAGAGGTATCAGCTTCTTCACTGGGAGGTTGGTTACTAGACAGGAGCTCACGTAAGAGTTTAGAATATCCATTCTCGGTAACTCGCTGGGTATAAAATAAGATATAAGCTTGGGCCTTGCATACTTCATCCATAGTGCACATGCTTAGCTTGGAGTCATTGCAGTGTACCCAGAAGCCTAGAGGGAAAGCATAGACATGGGATGTTTAGTAAACAATGTTAGAAGTGATGTTTTACAAAAAGTAATTTTCTAACAATTCTTAGTGTTTACTGTTGAATTCCTTTGTGGATTGCATGTTCATCCCTTGTTCAATGTTAATCAAAATGGGAAGAAAAAAGTGAAACCTCACTCCCATCACTTGCTAGAATTAAGCTACCCTAGAAGAGATAGAGATGGCAAATGACAGTTTAGATAGGTTAAATTTGAACTAAAAAATTGTTCTATTTCTATGATCATTTTGTGTTCATTAAGAGGCCTTGTTCTGAAATAAAACAGTAAACATAAGACCTGCTCTTGGAAGTATACTAAGAAAAGTCTCATCCTCTTACTTTAACAAAACTACCTTCATTTATACCCCAAAGTGCTACAAACCTACAGAAAATAGTATAGTCTACAGAAGTCAAGTGTGTGTGTGGGGGGGCGGGGGGAGGTCAGGTGGCTGTGCTTAAGATGATGCAGTGGCCACTCAGAAATTATGAACACAACTTTGCAAGTCTAATTCAAAATAAAGTAATTTTTAGCCACTGTTGGCTCACACCTGTAATCCTAGATATTCAGGAGGCTGAGATTTTCAGATCTCATCCAGAGCAGGAGGGTCTGTGGAGACTCTTATTAACCACCAAGAAAAAAAGTCAAAAGAGGATCTGTGGCTTAAGTGGTAGAGCGCTGGCCTTGAGCAAAACAGCTCAAGGACAGCATCCAGGCCCTGAGTTCAAGCCCCAGGACCAGCAAGCACATAATTTTTCCTATCTATACCTCCTTCAGAATTATAGCAGTAGGCAGTGTAATGTCCTGAGCCAAATCCTTTCCCATGATGCATTACTACAGCTGATAAGTCATAGATAAAGCATTCTGGTCTGAGGGATTTCATTGTCTCCTTGCAGCAATAGGGCTCCATGTTTAAGATTTCCTTAAAGCCAACGTGAACACCAATCTTCTCTCGGTTATTACGTCCTGACCACCTGTGAACAAGCCAGAACAAAGTAATGAGGAATACCAAAGGAGAATTCTAGAATGTGAAATACAGAGAATTAAAGTTGTGGCCAAAGTGGTAGTGTGAGCAGTTAGCAAAAAGCTAAGAGCACAAGGCTCTGAATTTAAGCCCTAGTACCCAGTACACACACAAAAATCAATCACACATATATATGAAAGACACATATATACAAAATTCAGTGTGTGTGTGTGTGTGTGTGTGTGTGTTGTGTGTTCCTAAAATCCTGAACTAAGTAGAAATGAAGGGATTTAGGAAAATTTTCCTAACAGGTCTAATCAAGTTTTCTAAGTCTTTTGCAGGGCTGGAGATTGTAGATTCAATGCATGGACTTAAGCATGCTTGACAAACCCTTTACTACTGAACTTTTGTAATTAAATGTGATTAGATACTACAGGTAAAAATTAATTAAAAAAAATTATAGCCCTGCTGGGCGCTGGTGGCTCAAGCCTGTAATCCTACTCAGGAGGCTGAGATCTGAGGATCACAGTTCAAAGCCAGCCTGGGCAAGAAAGTCCGGGAGACTCTTATCTCCAATAAACCACTAGAAAACGGGAAATAGTGCTGTAGCTCAAGCGGCAGCATGCTAGCATTGAGCTGAAATGCTGAGGGACAGCACCCAGGCCCAGAGTTCAAGACCCACTACCGACAAAAAAAAAAAAAAGTGAAAAAAGGAGAAAGGGGCAGTGGGGGAGGAGGGGTATAATGACCTCTACTGTGCGTCACATTTGCATTGAAATACCTATTAATGACATTATTCAAATAATGCCTCCTGTACTGACATTACTGGATATAGTAAGCACAGTATCACAAACATACTATCAGGAAGTATTACAGAGGGAAAGATCATATCATATATGATAGTTCTTTCAAGAGACTGACTTCATTCAGAATAGAGAAAAAACATAAAAACTGTAAAAATACTAAAACATGAAGTTCAGATAATAAGTGAGAAAGGAAAGAGGAATATAGACCAGTTTCAGAAAATAAGACAATGTAAAATGGTGTAGGAACTACTAAAGGTAAGCCATGCAAATTGTGCTTTCTCTTAGACTAGAAAGTCATATCCCATATCTATGATATTGTGAAATAGTGAAATAGTCGGTCTTCCTCTCATTTCCTAATTTATAGTTTCAAAAACTCTTGGAATCTCTGGTGTGATTTTTTGTGTGTGCCAGTCCTGGAGCTTGAACTCAGGATCTAGACACTATCCTTGATGTACCTGAGCTTTTTTTCTTAAGGCTAATGCTCTATCACCTGGGCCACATCTCTACTTCTGGCTTTTTGCTGATTAACTGGAGATTAGAGTCTTCTAGACTTTCTTGCTTGAGTTGGCTTTGAACTGCCACCCTCAGATTTCAGACTCCTAAGTAGGTAGGATTATGTTTCAGCCATGGGATCCATTTACATCTTTTGTATGCCTACACCACACATTAAAGCAGCATCCATGAAAAGTCTAAATAGTGGTTACCAAAATAAGTGGTTACCGAAAATTTGAACATTAAAGTAACATCAATTTAAGTCCTTTCCAATGTATTTTTACAGAATCTATATTCTCACCTCTCTGCTCTCAATTGCCCTTTTTACTGTTAACCTCCTAACTAATCTTGTTTTCATTTCATGTTACGTTATATGCAATGGCAGGGCTCACCATACTTCTCATGAAGCCTTTATTGTATAACCTAATACTCCCTTCTCTTTACTTTGATTCATACTGCTCCCTCTGATTAAAATGTTCCTGCTTCTCTAAATACCCCATTTATTCACTTAATATTTTGAGACACTGCTAAGCATAATTCTAGGACCTGACATATAGGAATAAAAGAAACGATTATTTTGCTGCTATTCTACTGGTATAAGAGAAATTATGCAAATCAGTTAATTACAGATAAGTTTTTGCAGTTATGTAAAAGGAGGATTCCGTGATAGATGGTTACATGGTGGAACTTTAGAAATGTCCCTGAAGACACAGTGTATGAACTGAGATTTGCTGTAAGCAAGAAAGCTGAGTGAGAACCCAAGGTCCAGAGTTCAGGCTCTGCACAAAAAGTACAAAAGCAAAACACACAGACACAGACACACACACACACACACATTGCTTCGAATTGGTTCCTTTTATCAAATATTTCCAAACACAAAACAATAGGGTCAAATATTCCTATTTAAAAAGTGACAATTTAATGTAGAATATTAAATACTGCAAGCAGATATAAATTTACGAACATTTAGCAGATCAAAATGTTAGGGATCTAATCATGATTAGGGGCATTGATCACAAGATTAGTTACTGAGACAGTGCAGTGGTACACACCTGTAATTTTGGCACTCAACAGAGGGGAGACAAGAGGATTACAAATCTAAGGTCAGCCCGGGCTATCACAAGATCCCATTTCAAAAAATAAAAAGATAAAGTTAATTGCTGAATATAGTGTGTGTCTTCTATAAACAATGGCCAGTTTCTCCCTTGAATCAAAAAGAGGGTAAATACTACCCTCTTCCATCATATGTATTCCTTTAACTTTTGATATTTTTGCAGCAGAAGGAATGACCAATTTAGACATGTATAATTGGTTGGCAACTGGTACTACTAACCTGAATCGTTTGAGGTGTAGTCTGAGAACCTGAGGAAGGTGACATATCATAAGCTGTTTTTGGGCTTCTGTGAGTACAACTGGCTTTGAAGAAAACTTTCTACGCTTTGCTGTAATAAAAAATGAAGATCAAGTTTAAAGGTCTAAGGAAGAGATGACATTTTTTTTACTTAAGCATGAATAAACAGACATGGCACTGCTAGATATAAACGCCGGGGCTCTGCTGGCAAGGAATTTTTAAAGCAAATTTATGAACTAGTAAGCATGAAAACAAATACATGATTTTAATTATAATCCTGTAATTATGAATAGATTAGGAATAAGTGCACTGCTTTCCACTTAAGAGTGGATTTTACTATAGCATTCCCAACTCTTAAAAATTTGCCGTTAGACCTGGGCATGTTGACTTATACATGTAGTGCTATCACTTAGGAGGCAGAGGCAGATTTCCTTACTTCATGTGAAGCAGGTTAGGCCATATAGCAAGTCTGAGGACAGCACAGGCTGAAAAGTGAGACCCGTTCCCCTCTCCCACCAATCAAACAAGCCTTCCCAGCTAATCAGGAGACTGAGATCTGAGGATCAAGGCTCAAATCCAGCTCAGACAGGAAATGGATGATATTCCAATTAGGTTAATCTCCATGTAACCACACAACAAAAGCTGAAAGTGGAGCTGTGGCTCAGGTGGTAGAACACTAGACCTGAGTGGAAAAGCTGAAGGACAGGGATGGGAAGGTGGCTCAGTGCTTGCCTTGCATGCATGAGGCCCTGGGTTCCATTACTCAGCACCACATAAGCAGAAAAGCCAGAATCGGTGCAATGGCTCAAAGTGGTAGAGTGCTAGCCTTGAACTGAAGAGCTGAGGGGCAGTGCCCCAGGCCCAGAGTTCAGGCCCCAGCATAGTACAAATAAATGTTTTAACCTGAAGCAAAATATTTTCAGAAAGCCTTTATACTACATAGCATGCTTTCCTCTTACTACTATTTGTTTTCTACTTTATTCTGCTCCACATATCAATTTTTTATTTTTAGTACCTAAGATCAAACCTAGGTCTTCAATATTGTTAGACAGGCATTTTACCATTAAAGCTATATCCCCAGACTTCATTTTCTTTCTTTTTTTTTTTTTTGCTAGTCCTGGGCCTTGAATTCTGAGCCTGAGCAGTGTTTCTAAGCTCCTTTTGCGCAAGGCTAGCACTCTACCACTTGAGCTACAGCATCATTTCCAAGGTGATAACTTCAAGTTAAGAGTCCCACAGACTTTTCTGACTGGGCTGGCTTCAAACCATGATTCTTGGATCTCCTGTGTAGCTATGATCACAGGTGTGAGCCACTAGCATCCCATCAGATCTCACTTTCTTATTTTATGAATCCCATCTTTCTACAACTCACTAGAGGATCAAGAAAAAATTTTAATGTCATCAATGAGGCAAAAAACACTTCATAAACATCAAATGAAAAGCAGAAATGTTTAGTCTGATTTCTTCCCATCAACTGTAGTTCACATTCACAGCTGCTATTTAAGGAATTTCTCCCATCTTCCCTATTAATCTTAGAAACACACAAAGAATATACAATCTCTACTCACAGTTACACTGGTCACATATGTAGATTTTTCCTTCTAAAGCTTCAGTTTCTGTAAATTTGGCCAGCATTTCAGTAACTAGACATGGCTGGGAGGAAGTGTCTTTTCCACTGTATTGGTATCTTCCTGGAAATTCCAGTGACAAGTCCCAGAATGGTTCTATGGTATTTGATTTGTTGTCACATGCAAGACATGTAACCTGTAAATAAAAAATTAGTTTCTCAAATGACAATTCTTACATAAAAACATTAACTCCTTTCACTTGAGGCCATTACTAGTAAATAAGCTTTTCTTTTTGGTCGGTTGTGGGGCTTGAACTTTGGGCCTGAGCACTGTCCCTCAGCTCTTCAGCTCAAGGTGAGCGTTCTACCGCTTGAGCAGTTTATTGAATATGAGTCTCACGGACTTTCCTTGCCCGGGCTGGCTTTGAACCATGATCCTCAGATCTCAGCTTTCTCAGTAGCTAGCATTACAGGCGTGAGCCACTGACACCCAACTTTCTCCCTTTTTTTTTTTTTTGTCAGTCATAGGGCCTGAACTCTGGGCCTGGGTGCTGTCCCTCAGCTTTTCAGCTGAAGGCTAGTACTCTACTACTTGAGCCACAGCGTCACTTCTGGCTTTTTCTGCATATATGGTGCTGAGGAATCGAACCCAGGGCCTCATGCATGCAAGGCAAGCACTCTACCACTGAGCCACCTTCCCAGCCCCAAGGGTTTCTTTTGAAAATACAATTTTGTTAGTCTGGATAACCACTTTATATTTTTATCAGGAAAGTTTAATTTTTTTCCTTTGAAAAGAGTGTCCTTAAACTCACTATTATTGACAGGCTTCCACAGATGGACCTTCAAAAAGTTGTTATAACAGCCAGGCGCCAGTGGCTCATGCTACTCAGGAGGCTGAGATCTAGGGATTGAGGTTCAAAGTCAGCCTGGGCAGGAAAGTCTGTGAGACTCTTATCTCCAATAAACCACCAGAAAACAGGAAGTGGCACTGTGTCTCAAGTGGAAGACTGCTAGCCCTGAGCTGAAGAGCTGAGGAAAAGTGCCCAGGCCCAGAGTTCAAGCCCCATAATAGATAAAAAAAAAGTTCCAATAACAGTTCAATCTAGACTTTAGATAAAAATTCAAACTATATTGCCAGGTGTTAATAGCTCATACCTGTAATCTTAGCTACTCAGGATTCAAAACCAACTTGGCAGGAAAGTCTATGAGGTTCTGATCTCCAATAACTACCAAAAAGCCAGAAGCAGTGCTGTGGCTCAAGTGCTAGATTGCCAGATGTATGGGAAAAGGCTAAGAGACAGTGTGTTGGCCCTGAATTCAAGCCCAAGTACCAGTACCAAAATAAATAAAAATTAAACTATAGCTTAGTAAACATAATCTTTATATTATATAGCATATACTTATATGCGTTTAATGTTATTTGTCATTAGGCTTGATGTTTTCCACCCTCTTCCTTCCTCATCTTTCAGTGATTTTTCATATTCCAATCCCAATCTGTTACCACAATCTACTTTCTTTTTTTGGCAAGATACTCTTCCACTGAACTATAACCCTTAACCATAATACAAAGTACAACTACAATACTATTTATATATACATATATATATGTATGTATGTACACAATATATCTTATGTATATTTTAACATAATATATTTATACTATATTATACTTATATAATATATAAATATATAATATAAATACAACATATATGTTGAAATGTTAATATATAAATATATATTAATATATATACAATACTATTAACATGCTTTTGTTATACAGATTTTGGAGCTCTGCCAGCTGATAATTTTAAAAAAGACAATACCTATAAAATAATAAATCATATGTCCACTTAAATATTACATTAAAACCCCTATTCAAACACAGAACAAAACATGAAATAGAGGAGCTATTCACATATGGAAAAATAAACTTCTTGCAACTTACAGAGGCAATATAGTAACTGGTGAAGGATTTAATGCTACCAACTTTGCACTTAAGACAGACTTATGTGTTAATAATTTACAAACAGTATGAAGTAATACAAAGAAACTTTCATACAAGTCTCTTTAAATAATGAAGCAAGTTCAAATATAGACTTTAGATATTAACAAATTGACAAATTCCTTATGGTGGTTCATCTGGGAATTCAGTAATATCACTGACTGACCTTTTGAAGAATTTCTTGAATTAAAATAACAAAACAAGAAATCAACATTGTTAGAAACTATCTGAGAACTAGAACTAGATGAATCTTATCTTAAATTTCTCTAGGAAGTCTGCCAGGGCTAAACTATTCCTTGTTTCTAGAAATTGCTCTAGGCCGCACCATATGGTTCTCAGTACAACAGTGTCTTGAAGGCTGTTCACTCCAGGATTAAACACTCTTTTCTTAGCCCCTTAGAAAGTGACTATAGTATTAGTAACCTACAAAGTTGTTTCCTGACTCTCCCTCCACAGGCTTTTGATTTCATAAACCTAGAACTATTTTCAGTGATTCATGAAGAACTGTAAATGAGTACTTTATACATTTATAAAAGCAATCAATCTGATGTGAAAATGATCCATGCTCAAACACACTAGTTATATAGAGAATATATAAATTTTCACTTTATTAATTTCCCAAGATAAAATTTGAAGAAATCCATTACCTGACTAAGAAGTTGTCCATGAAAAATATTATTTACAACATTAAGAACTTGTTTAATAAGTTTCCTTTGAGAAGAGGGGATAAGAGCTGGTAACCTGGTACCAGTTGTCTCTAATTCATATTGTACTTTATCCAAAAGTTCACAGAGAAATTCCTGAGCATCTTGTTGGGCATAGCCCCGGAAAGCAGGAATTAGTCTCCATACCGAATGTAGCATAGCAAATGGTGAAACCAAGGCCCACTTTCCAGACCACATGACTTGGAACAAAGTATGCAATTCATGACAAAGAGAAATGTATTGTGAACTTGGTTCTCTTGACTGAATAAGTTCCATATTTCTGCCTTTTGATGCTCCACCACTCAGTCCTGATGGCAAACTTGGATATCTGGAGCAAACCAAGCTTCTATCCTTCTCTTGGCCTTTATTCACTTGATACACTACTGAATCTGTGATAGGCAGATGCTTATATGATCTTGGTTTATCACTAGTAGTTACAGCCAACCATTGGCGCAGGTCAAGCTTTAAAAAGCATTGTCGAAAAATAAGTAAATGACTCAATACTTGAAGAACAGAATTCATGTAGCAAGTATTTCCCAAATTTCTCAATCCTGTTACACCAGGAGTTATCATTGGCCTTCGCTTAACTAAGGAGTCACTGACCCTTTTACCTCTTGTACCTTCTATGGTAGATAGCACTTTGTCTTTTGCTGGTGAAGCTGGAGTTTGTGATGGTGCTTGAACAGGAACCACTACTACTGTGGAGGACTGAGCCAGCCCTTGTAAACGCAAGCTCTTTCGTGGAGGCATACTTTCCAATTCTGTTTTCCCTTGATGGTCTAATTCGTGATGTCTTTTCTTCACTTCTTTCTTTGCTACCACTTTCTCGTGAAATTTTTCTTGAGCAATCCTTTTTTTCCCAATGAGTGACTGCTCCAACCAAGTTCGAAAGACTTTACCCATGAGCATCTTCCTCCTGTGCCAAAGAGCAGTGCACATCCGATCCTCATTTTGGAGCATAGATTGGGTGCCATCAGGTAAGAAGTAAGAATCATCACTTGTATCTGTAGACTGTCCACTAGGAGTGGCACAGTGATAATTTTGACTTTTGATTGCACTTAGTGTACTTCGTAGTAATTTCAGGTCTCCGGCTGCATTATCGTTAAGAACATAATCATCACAGAGATAACAAAAAACATACATCTCATTCACCTCCAGAACAACAGGATGACTGCTTTCTTCAAAGTGCTTGACTGCGTGCTTTTCAATATATCGTCCACAGGCAACATGAGAGCAGCTGAGGCATGCCCAAATAGACTCTGATGTATTGCAGTCTACACAGTGCCATTTCTGAGGGTTGAGGATGGAATGGTCTTGAGCAAGCTGCAACTGCTCAATGTGTCTGCATTTATCCATTGCTAGTATTTACTTAGTCTACCCGAGAAACACATAATCCAAATAAGTCTCTGCTCACAATACTCGAAGCATCTGCAAACTAAGCAGAAAAAAATGCCCATGTTTAATAAAACAAAAACAGCCAATAATGTTTCATTTTTATGAAATATTTTTTCCAAAGATAATATAAATGAGCTCCTGGTCATAATTTCTAGCTGCTTATAACGTCCCTAATCTCTCATCAACTTTACTCTTTCTAGTGAGGCTCCTTTAAAAAGCTTTTGCTTTTAATTTTGTCACCATCTAGTAGTGACCACTTTAAACTCAATTAGAATAAGATTCGCTTCTTTTACCCAACAGCTTGAGAGACAATTTCCAAAATTATATTTTCCTTTCTTAAAAATGGGATGTAGCCAGCTTCTGGTGGCTCATGCCTGTAATCCTAGTAACTTACCCAGAAGGCTGAGATCCTAGGATCACAGTTTGAAGCCAGCCTGGACAGGAAAGTATTTTGTGAGACTTTTAAGCCAAATGTGGCTCAAAGTAGTAAAGTGCTAACCTTGAGTAAGAACTCAGGGACAGTGCCCAGGCATTCAGTTCAAGCCCCACAATGACAGAAGAAGAAGGAG